CGGGAGTAAACAAGGAAAAAAAGCACCTGTTTTCACTGGGTACCACATTTGCTATGTGGGGAGGTTAGTGATGCTCTTGAATGTAACCCAGCTCTCTAGTGCCACCCACTGAACAGTCCAGAAAACACAACAGAGCAGCATGGTGATTGGAAGATCTGCATACTAGAAGCATAGGCTACATACTGGACTCAATTACCACAGTTCAGTCCGTATAGATTAAGATGGATTATGAGAGGAGGTCTCAAAGTTGTTTTCATCCTGTTGTCAACAGGATACCAAACAGTTACAATTCCCTCAATAAGTCTTTAAATATTACTATAAAATATAAATATCTATAAAAACAAAATAAAATAGGATCAGCTGTATAAAAATATGAGTAGTGAGGTCTAACATCAGAGAAACACTGTGTAACTTTGATTTGCCGCCATCAAGTACAAGTTTTTATCTATTATGATTGGTAGAAATGAGTACTAATACTATTAGTATAAGTGCTGAGTTTTACTACTTTGATATTAACCCGTTAAGAAACATCATGAAACTTTGTGAAGTTTGCCTATGGAGCCACGCAGTCAAAGAGCGCCACCAAGTGGCCAAGGAGAGGTGGTGAAAGTCCTGCAGGGAAGACCAAGAGGATGAAACCTCAAAAACATGACAGCTTCACTTATTTGATTGCATTTACATTTTAGTTAATTTATTGAGTCTATGAGAAACTGCTAAACTTTTTTAAAAATTTTTTTTAATTTTTCTATAGACTATGATTTTGACACGTATTGTTATTGCCTGATTTGTTTGTATAGACGTGCCTTTTTAATGCCCGTTATTATAAAAATCTTGACAGCCAACTGAAAGCAGTACGTTTTGTAATTACATGAATGAAGTAGTCTTGGAATCCAGCCACACTGGCGGACTGGGGGCTGTAGTACGTTATGTCCAACGACTCGTCAGTGGAACTAAACCAAGCCAAGTTGGCCGGTTTACCAGTTTGGATCAAATTGCGTTTTCATGTCAGATCTTGTGATATCTCACGTCTCAAGTCAGTCAGGACCAGATTTTTTTTTCCACAACAAAATTGACTAAAACCATTCGACTCGTTTGCTGGAGGCATGATCGCTTTGACAGAAAAATGGTCTTTTCCATTCTTACTCTGTCTAATCTACTTCTGATTCGAGGCAGGTTTCCAACAGGTGCCAAAAATGGATGTGCAGCAAAACTGTCCATGCCTGGAGTGGAAAATCAAATCGATTATACAAATGAAAGTAAAGTATTGTGGATGGTGATTCAGTCGAATACTTCCAACTTGTTTTTCTTTTATCATAAAAAAAAGTTTCCTAAGCACCTGACCTCTGACCCAGAATCAACAGGTTGTTTTTCCAATTTAAGTGACATCACTGCTTGTTTGAATGAAAATCGGCTTTACATTTGCTTTGCTTCTAGTAAGAAGCCTGAGAACATCTTTGTGTGAAATTAATCAAATGAAGAAAAACACTGCGTGAGTTTCTGTGTATTTGTCAGAGTCATATCACACCTTGTCTGCCATTGTTAAAATGGCCTATACACTATAAGATTACTTTAAAAATGTAAAAACCACAGTTGATTCCTTATTCAGATGCACTACCATAATTCCTTATTTCATTTGAAGGATTTTGGAAACTCAGTTGACCCCACAAGTGTATGTTTGGTATTGTGGGTGAGAAGGCTGTTCACCAGCAGGTTTTTGTTTTTAAACTACCATGATGTGGATTAGATTAGAGAACAAATAAATCTTCGTTTTAATTGTAATCAAATTACACAGATTGTGTCCTTTAAACGTCCCCCGGCTAGGACATGACATGAACATGGCGCATGCCTTGACCTTCAACCTCGGATATTTATTCAAAGTCGTTTATCTGTTTGACAAAATGCTAATCCATCACTCAAAATTCTCGCGATAATTGGCGCCGATATATTAAGACGGATGGAGGAGCCTCGTCCACTTGAAGGGGCGTTGGGTTTCCTTAAGGACCTTGGTGAGGTTTGGAACAGTCAAGGGTTACAGGTTTGCACAAGAAACATCCAACCATGTCGGACGCGGTGGTTAGTTTCATGAAGGACTTTTTGGCTGGTGGCATTGCCGCTGCCATCTCCAAAACAGCTGTTGCTCCTATTGAGAGAGTCAAGTTGTTGCTGCAGGTAAAATAATTGAAGCAACTGTTACCTATTGCATGATCGCATGTTCACTGTTTTGTGCGTAAAAGTGTGCGTAAATTCTGGATAGCTGATCAACCTAACACCAAAATGTAACAGTGGAATTTGTTTTAATGGAAGAAAAGTCTAATTGTCCACGGAGTAGGTTCATTTGATCTGGTGCGTAATGTCAAGGGGCACGTGAGAGGTCCTGCGTTTAAGTGGAGATGGTTTTACGCACTGCTCTTCGCGATGCTGCTGCCATGATGATGATGGCAAGAGTCATACGTTAAAGCAACACAGTCATAATAATAGATTATGCTACTGTTTGTAAGTTTTTTAAGTGAATTATTACTCCTTTATAACAGATGACCGCAGTAATATTCAGTGTAAGTGAATTGCTAAATTTAACTTGGAGTGTGTAATCTAATACACAGCCGATTCTCAAGTGACAGGAGAGTGCCTGGAGGCTGCTGCTACAACTACAGTACAAAATGACTGAACGGAGAATATGAAACATCGACTAAGATTATGAAAATACAAGAAGTTATCAAAAGTGAAATACAAAACAATATATTCTGTTTTTAAATAATCTGGGGATGAAAAAGTTCCTTTGCACACAAAACTTTTATTAGTGAATCTATCACACTATGGGGTAATCGTCTTTTTCTAATGAACTTTTATTGTATTGTATTATTTGTAGGTCCAGCATGCCAGCAAACAGATCACCGCAGAGACACAGTACAAGGGGATCATGGACTGTGTATACAGGATCCCGAAGGAACAGGGCTTTATTTCCTTCTGGAGAGGCAACCTGGCCAATGTGATCCGTTACTTCCCCACCCAAGCCCTCAACTTCGCCTTCAAAGACAAGTACAAGAAGATCTTCCTCGGTGGAGTGGATCAAAAAACACAGTTCTGGCGTTACTTCGCTGGCAACTTGGCATCTGGCGGTGCCGCTGGTGCGACTTCCCTCTGCTTCGTCTATCCTCTTGACTTCGCCAGAACAAGACTCGCTGCCGACATCGGTAAGGGCGCAGCTGAGAGAGAGTTCACCGGTCTTGGAAACTGCATCGCCAAAATCTTCAAGACCGATGGCCTCAAGGGTCTTTACCTCGGTTTCAACGTGTCAGTTCAGGGAATTATCATCTACAGAGCGGCCTACTTTGGATGCTTCGACACAGCCAAAGGTCTGCACATCTGTTCGACCCGACATTAAACATGTGTTTAACATTGTATTCGCGTCTTTTCTCGTGATGAACGAGTGACTTAACTTCTCCCTCATACAGGAATGCTGCCAGATCCCAAGAACACGCACATCGTCGTGAGCTGGATGATTGCCCAGACTGTCACCGCTGCAGCTGGTCTTGTCTCATACCCCTTCGACACTGTCAGACGTCGTATGATGATGCAGTCTGGACGCAAAGGAGGTGAGCATCAGACATGTCCTTTTAGTGATGAATTTGAATAGTTTGGCCCAATTGCGCATTTTACGCATGCATCCATTGGAATTACGCATTACTATCTGTGTCTCAATTTCCACAGCGGATATCATGTACAAGGGCACACTCGACTGCTGGAGGAAGATCCTCAAGGACGAGGGATCAAGAGCCTTCTTCAAGGGTGCCTGGTCCAACGTGATCAGAGGCATGGGTGGTGCCTTTGTGTTGGTGTTGTACGACGAGATCAAGAAGTACACATAATAAACTTTCTAATCTCCCAGTCCCAAAGGAAACCCTTGGCTTTGTTTAAGTCTTAATTCTTGTGATAGAGTTGATAACAGCTTGTGGTGAATTACAATGTGGGCATGTGCTCTTCAGCAACAGCCCGGGGGAAGGAAGGGAAACTTGACCTGGGTTAACATGCCTCCTCAGAAATCTGTATATATATCCCATCTACGACGTGCCATAAGGCACAAACTTTCAGTGTGGCAAAGTCAAGCCGGTGTTTCAGTGATGTTGTGATGATGCAACGGATGACGTCACTACCCACCATATGCTCCTCATGTTAGAGTCAGTTTGTAAAGCAGTTGCTGAGGCCCATGTGTTGTTATGTTGTGACCACTCTGACCCATGTATCCCACCTCATACATTATTTTATTAAGAATAAAGATTTATTAGTCTAAAAGTCCTGTCTTTTTGATGCATGTTTTGTTGCCATGGCAACCTGTTATCTGCAATTAAACAGGTCTTTTTCACAGCAGATATTTTGACTTGTCATAGGAAAAGCACAGTTGTTACTAATAACACTAACAATGGCTCTGTTTTATTCAAGTATCCCAGTAAGTCATGACCCAAGTGTGACAGTGAACCAACATGTACAACACCAGGACCCTGAAACTGAAGCAGCTGAACAGAATTCATCATAACACCTGTGCTTTTCCTACTGTGACATGTCAAAGTGTGTTCAGAGAAAATGCCGATTTAGAACACAATGCAGTTAAAATACAGTAGGATTTTGTCAAAATATCCAAAATTGAAAGATGATATCTTTTCATACATGACACTTGCACTGTCAATAAAATCAAGCAAAAAGTAGCAGAAAGGCTTGTACCACATCATTTTTGGTCTAGTAGAGAAGATTTTCAAAAATATTCAACGTCACGAGTATACCAAAGAAATACACTGAGTAGCTTAATGTACAGCTACCCCCCTAACCAAACAATGGCATGTGTCCAATTGGAACAAACTGGTCACAATAGTGTTTGATTAGAAAAGTTAAAAGAATGATTAACTGTCCACCAACCTATTTAAATATGTATAGCACACATATAACACCAAAAATCAATGTTCAAATAATGTTTTAATTTTTTAAAAACATAATTCTTTAGTGCATCATAAACTGTACAAATATGAGAAGGCGGCAAACAAAAAGCTGCAGATTTAAAATAAAAAATATTTATTTGAAACGTCAATTACTGAAATAATAAACAATGGATTATTTATTGTTATAATTTCAACACGACGGTTGGTGAAAGGCAATATTTTCTTCAAAAGTACAGCAAGCTTACTGTTGTAACACCTTACTGCAATATTCAGAAGCCACAGTTGAACTATTTGAGTGCATTACAATAGCTTTGAGCCCAGAGCATCACTTGCTATATTTCAGCATTGAGGAGCAGAAAAATGTCTATCTTCTCTATATATAATCATGACCACAGAATCACTGAATAGCTGATAAAGGTGTATGCTGAAAAAAAAATCCTTTGAACATCATACCTTCCACACTTGACCTTTTGTTAAGGGAACCAGCGATGTACTTCTTAGTAGATTAGATGTCTGAAAACAGCAGAGGTCTTAGCACCAGGCTGGTCGAGCTGCACTCAGTTTTTTCGACCTGGGTAAAGGTGTGCTGCTAGAGTCCGTGGTGGTGGAAACTGCTCTGGAGCTGTGGTGGGCGGAACTGGTTGACCTGGGACCTGCTGGTGTGGACAACAGAGAAACAAACTCTGACTACAGACTTACCATCACATATTCAAAGTAGATACTAAACATTTTAGAATATTTATTTTAGATTTCAGCCACAACAAACAGTTACAGTGCAAGTAAACACACACACAAGCAAATCGTGTTCAATCATCAATAGATGTCTTATTGTCATTTAGCACTCTGGACTCTACTATTGGCCAACAATTAAGGACATTAAGTTCACACTTTTACACAAAAATGGAAAAATGCTAAACAATTTAACTACAAATATTACCAAACAACTCTTCAAGCAGTTATTTTAAACAACTTTAAATAGGTTTAATGTGATAAGAGCAGGAACATCGGTGAAGCAGTCGTTACTGATCTCTGAATTAGTGGGTGTTTTTCTTACCGGTATCAGTCATCCGCAGCTGCTTTGCACTTCTCCTTCTGTTAATTTAACCTCTGTAGCCATCTGAAGGCAGCAGGTCAGCTGTGTGATAAATATGCTTCCAATCTGAGCAGTGCTATGCAGCACAGTGCCACATGCTAATCTTCTTTGTTTAGCTCGATTAAATTATCACATTCACCAACAGCCTGCAGCAAAATGACTACACATGCACTTCTGTTGGTGCTTTTGTGGAATCAGAACTCTCAGTGAGGGCTGGGTGCACGGGAGATTTTATGCTGTGCAGTTACCTCACAAGTGGGTTTGTCTTAAAGTGATAATCAGCATCTCCTGGCCCCCACGTTTTCATCGTACATATGAAATATATGAATGGGTGGAGGGATGGACAGGAAGGCACACACTTATTATTCAATCTGTTTTATATAATGTGTGGCTGAAGACCTTGTATGAGCAGGTTTTCATCACCATATGGTCATGTTATTTAGGTCTATATAAATTATTCACTATCAGGGTTTTGTAACTAGAAAAAAAATCACCTACCTGAGGTTGTCCTGCTGGTAGGCCTCTTTTTCTTTGAAGTGGACCCACAGATGGGGAATGACGGAGCTCCCAGGTACCCGACTTGGCGCTGGTAGTCTGCCATTTGCTCTGAGCGCCTCAGGCCAGGTGTAGGTTTGACAGACTCCAGTCTCTTCAGGAAAGCCTGTAAGAAACACATACATTTCTCACATTTTGAGAACCAATTCCAAGACGTATTTTTCAGTCACATTCAACCCTAAAAGAGATGAGCATGTACAGGAGGTCAGTTCAAAAGCATTCTCGGTAAAGCTATTGATTTAATTTTGAATATAGTGCTTTAATATACAGAGTATCGTAAGTAAGTAAGTTTTCAGAACTTTTGATGTTGAGATTCTCATCCATCATGCAATGCCATCAGGTTGTCTGATCAGCCCCAAATTCATTCTGCAGCATGACAACGATCCCAAACGTACAGCCAGAGATATTACGAACTATCTTCAGTGACAAGAAGAACAAGGAGACCTGAAGCAGATGGTCTGGCCCCAACACAGCCCTGATCTCAACATCATGGTGTCAGTCTGGGATTATGTGAAGGGGACAGAAGACACTGAGACAGCCTAAATCCACAGAAGAACTGTGCCAAGTTCTCCAAGATGTTTGGAATAACCTATCTGCCAGTGTACCGAGGAGAACTGGTGCTGTTTTAAAGGCAAAGGACTGTCACACCAAACACTGATCTGATTTAGGTTGTTTGTTTGGGTGTCTGCACGTTGTACTAGGGAATCCTAAGGAATCATGGCAATATTTTGAAACTTTTGCACAGTAGTGTAAATGCTCGTAATAAAAGTCTTCAGTGACTCTGACTGTGTGTTATTCCTGACTTCAGCCAGAAAGCCTAAATATGCAGTAAGGCTCACAAGCAGAAGTATTATGTAAATGCTAAATTTTGTCAAGCATTTGAGTTATTGAGTAATTCACTATTCACTGTCATTTACTGAAGCAGAATATATAACACACATAATAACATTTAAAAAGTGTTTATATCATTCACAAAATGAAATAAAACACAAAATAGTCCCCATTCTACAAATGCCAATCAAATTATAAAAATAGAAAAATGTCTGGTGCTTCACAACAAACACAACCAAACAGCATGAAGCAAAACAGTGTAGGCAAGTGGCTGAAAGTCATACATGCGTTCACACTTCCACATGCATGCTGTGCAAAAATCCGTCAGTAAGCAAAAACTCCATATGAAGCAATGTAACTAGCGTAAAGCTCAATAGTCAAGAGACTGGTCCACTAAAGTTCACAAATTCTCCAGAGGTCATAAAAAGGCACTACTGATTTCTACAGTAATTGCAGACAGACTAGTCACCTACTGCTTTTCCAATGTGTGATTATTTTAAAATCTCTTCCCTCTATATCAATATCACTTCTTGTGCAGAAAAATAAGTATATTGTGTAAATGACCAATCTTGAAATACATGGTATAACTAGTTCTACTTATGCAGGACAAATGGGGTGCATGTGTAATGTGTGGGGTGGACACACTGATCACACGGCAGATTCAATTACTTAGTCTACTCTAAGAATAGAGAAGGGGAAAAGCACCCCCAACAACGTGGAGAGATGGAAATCAAGAGGGAGAACTGTCTGAACTGAAACTAGCTGGAACATAATCTATGATACCAAAAAAAATAAAATAATGAAAGTTGTTTAATCAGTAATAATAAGAAAAAGAAGAGACAGTAAAAGAAAGGAATGCACGTTTTCTGTTTTCACTTAAACAACAACTAACAACCTGCTACTGTTACTGTTGGCTGGAAATAATTAATTCAATTAAGATTTCCTGAATCATTTGCAAACACTGCTGTATTTTATCATTAAGTGGTCAAGCAGAGTTAACATATGAAGTGAGAGGCTGAAGCTGCAGAGGCTGAGCTGTCTTTTAATGTCACTCTGTGGTGCTGCTGCTGTCCTGCCACCTGCTGCCATCTGTCCCAGTCCATCCGTGTCTTCTTTCAGGGGTGACACTCCCAGACTGACACTAACCCAACCCAACCAACTAGTAGTTGTCTAACTAGTATCCTTAAATATACTGTATATATTAGAATAAAAATTAATATACCGGCACAAAATTATGCTGTAATGCATACACAGACTAAAGCTACAAAAATATGTGCATTTCTTATATGAAAGTTTTGACAATGATTACTTTAAGTACTTAAATTACAGATTCTCTTAGTTAATTAAAACCAATTACAGGGACATTTCATTAAAACTACATCAGTAGGTGATACACTGACATGCTGACATGTTTTGGAGGAAATGACTGATGCAGTAACATAGTCAAGTGGATCAAGTCGACAAAATGCATTGATGACACATCTGTCTGTGAGATCAAAGTGTTGTGTTACACAAATGAAACAACAGACAGTTAAAAAAAATAATTGGCATACAGTATATTCTCACTGACAGGAGTTAACCAGAAGATGAGAACGTTCAAAAAGCCAACAGCAGCTACATATTTCGTCAGTTCAGACAGACATAATTACACAAATGACAAAAGTGAAATCTCTAGAGACAAAGCAACGTCAATATCACATACTACCCAGTACTAACTTAATCAATTATCAGTTATCACATTATATTTTGTCAGTATGAAAACTCACCACCATATATTCTAAGATTGCTGGGAACATTGCCATTGTTTAATTATAATATTATAACTTTTTCTTTAATGAGGTAATCTCATTGATATCTCTTTTTCATGAGAGACCTGAGTACAGAAGAGAAAAAGAAAAACAAACATAGCCAGATATAGCAAAATGACAAATATATACAACAAACAGATACAACAAAAACAGCATCAGAGCATCAAAACTCACCAAGTTCTCCCTCTCGATGCGTTGCTGTTCCCGCTGCCTGTTGAGTGCACTGTGAGAGAGGCGAATGAGAGGCGATTTACCGGCCATATTGGTTTTCTTCTCATCTGCACTTCCCGGTCTGGGCCCTGGAGAAAGGCGCGAAAGCTCCCGCAAAAGTCGCTGGTTCTCTCGATCTATGCGCCGGACTTCGTCATTGGTGAATGAGTAATTCTTCCTGTTTCTTCCTCCAGGACAGTGGAAAACCAGTTTACCTCCAAATTGACTATCTGAACTGAGAGAGCCTGATTGATGAAAAAGACAATGGTTAGAGTATCATCATCTGCCTTTGGAAGAGTTATTGTGTTTTATGCAATGTTTTAATGGTCCTTTGGTTCAAAGTGAACCAAGTGTGGTGGGTTTCTTTCTTTATAGAGTATTGCATAAACAAAAAGAACAAAATATACAAGAACATAAAATGTCATATTCTTGAGGCATATCCCTAAACTTTATAATGCTATTATTTACCGTTTGCATGCCCTGTATATCATTGGATAATTTTGAATGACTACATTTTTTTTTCAAAACACATTACAGTGTACTGAATGTGCTTAGTGCACATTGTTTCTGATGTACAGTGTAAGGAAAGATGGTGTGTTGCAGTTTAGTACTGACCTAAATTACAAACATAGTGTTTCATGAAAAACAACTACAGTGTAGAACTTAATGTAAAGCAGAATTTTACTCAAAGTCAAAGATACTTATGTGCACAGTGGTATTAAGGTACATTACCATTAGCTATTCAAAAAGACAGATTCACTGATCTAAAAGAGAAAAGGCTTTTTGTGATTTAGGTGAGCTTGAAGAGGAAATCTATTTGGTTGTTTTATGACTGATTTGTTGATTTAAGAGCTATGTTTTTAGTAAATATAATATAATAATAAGATCATAATTTTCAGAGTTCTTCTGTATGTATGATGATGAAAAACTTGAGCCGTATTTAAGGAAGGGAACATCTTAGTGGCAGGTTATACTTGTTCAGGTTGGTACAGAAAACAAAGTTCTTTAATTTCCAGTGTAATGGCATTATATTTAAGAAGTTGTTTTCTTGTCTTACAAATGTTTAAACATTGCATTGATATTTCTGTCTTATAAGTCTATGTGTGCTGGACACTTGTATGTGCATAACACAATAAATAAGATAAATAACTAACTACATTTAAATCTAAACAAGCAGTTACAGTATAGAGAACTGGTTCCCAATCTAGGAGTTGCGACCCCTTCAACAGGTTTATATTTTCTGACTTTTTAAAATACTGAATACTTTAATTCTTCCACAAGCCAAAAGGGCAAAGAATCACTGGTATAGAGAAAAAGCACAGAAAAAAACATGCCATTCTTGTCTGTAACTGACAGACAAAGAATGGCACAGCTTTACTCACACTCATCCACATCCTCATCTGAGCCCTCAGCTTGATGTATATTGCCAAGGCCACTGGAGGGCACACTCTCGTGCTGCTGCTGCTCTTTAAGGCTTCCCTCTTCAGCCTCTGTGTGGTTCAGGTCCAATGACTGCAGAGGGCTGATGTCAGGAGAGGAGAGGGGGCTCACATCTGTCACTGTATCATCTGACTCCTCTGCATGGCTGGTAGGCAAATCCAGAGATCCTGCTGTGCCCACTCTGGCCCTTCTCTCTCCAGGGGATAAAGAAGACTTTTTGGGTTTGGGAAGGGTCGGGGACCCTAAACTGCTTCTCCCACTGCTACTGCTTGAAGAGCTTTCTGAGTCTGCGTCTACACTGACCTTGGTTGAGGAGGGGAGTGGACTTCGCATGCGCCAATTTCTACTAAGTTTTTTAGGAGATTGTTTATTTCTCCTTTTTGATCCTGAGTGTTTGGCACTGGGCAGTAATGCTTCTTCTTCACTCTCATTAGAGCTCTGGTTGTACACATCCTTATCATGTATCTCTCCGCCCTTAGCCAACAAAGCCATAAATGTCCCACTGGACCTTTTAGAGTGCAAATTGTAATCATCCTCACTATCACTGCTACTAATGATGACTTTATCTGACATAGAGGCAACAGATGACACATTGGATGCCTTGCTCCTCTCCTCTTCCCTTGATTGACAGCTGTTCTCTTTCCTTTCCACATTGCTTCTGTTGTTGTTCACTTGTTTCAGGTGATTTTTCCTCCCACTAGTCCTCAGGGACAAATCATCTTTTGTTTTTTCAGTCTGTGTTGCACAAAGCCTCTCATGTGCTGGTGGGCTCTCCAACTTTTTCCCTCTATCTCTGCTAATGCCATCATCATCACAGTCACTATCAAAAAACGAATGATCCACTTCACCTTCGAGTTCACTGGGGTTGAACATGACAGTCTGTCCTCATACACTGAACCTGTAGGATAGTGTAAGGTTGAGATAATATAATGGTTTAAGAAAAATATCACATTATTATACATTATGACACAACAATAACATAACATTGGCAAAAATTGATTTAAACGTGATGCAGATGTTCTTTGTGACACATTAAAGCGGACATATCATTTTGATAAATCAATACTTAACGCATGCGGCTATAGCATTATAAGCAAATTTAGCACGGGATTTGGTCAAACCAGCCATGGCAATGACATATTTTAGTCAATAAAGACACTTTTCTCCACGTAGTACATAACAGTTAACCCTTTAAAAACACCATGAAGACAAAGCATCGTTTAAACCTACAACGCATACTGTATACGTTGAGTTTGATAGCTGGCTAGCTTAACTTACTCCAACTATACGTTTAGGTTAGCTAACTTTAGCTGTGTGGCAACCAAATCTTACCTCACGACAAACGGTGTTTCACGTTACAGTTGCATTTGCTTCTTTAGAGAAGATGTATTCCACTGAGAAGAAGAATAAACAAACCACAAACCTGCACTAAAAGCCAAATCTTCTTTTAGCGGGCTACTACAGCTGGATACCGTGAGCGTGACATGGTGCCTAGTAACTACGCTACGTCACTTCCTGGCAACGGTTGCTCTGCAGCAGCGTTGCGCCTTAAATGTTTCACAATAATTTAACAAAATCTCCCAAGAATCAAATAAAAATAAAATTGAAAGTGAATAGAAATAAAGATATAATAATAATTAAATATAATATAAAATAATTAATAATAATTTTTCAGCTGAAATTATTTAACCATGTGTCGTCAGTGTTTTGACAAAAATAAATAAATAAAATCTTGGGCCTAACTTAAGATCTACGTGCCAGCAGCCTATTAAACCGCTGATGAATGCCATTGAGTGAAAAGCTGCAGATTAAAATCTCACAAAAGATCTAAATCTATATTTTATATATTGAACCTGAATACATTTTGTATGTCTACACAAACCGGAGAAGTAAGAAGTTTTGAACAGCTGGGTTTTACACTCATGAAAAGACTGTGCTGCTGTGAGAGATTTAAAGGTAGGCCTATTTGAACCAACCCATTTTGAATGAGCAAATAACTCTTTGTCTTTCATTATAAACGGTGTAACATTAAAGTTGACTTCACATATTTCCCAGATGGTTTCGTGGTTGAATCCATAGACTGTAAATGAAAATGAATCTAATGTCAAACTAACAAAAAACACAAAGAGCCAACATACTGTACACTACAACATTATGAGTCAATTTGGTGATTCTGCTCAACAATCATAATGTGTATGTTGTTTTTTCTTGCGATGTTCTTTTGTATATATATATATATATATGTGTGTGTGTATTTGTTTTTTAAGTAATTCTCAAGTGACAGGTATCAACATATGAACACAATGTGGCTGCTAAGCAGCTATTTCATAAAAAACAAAATGAATCTTCAGACTGCAGTATTTTGCTCTTGCAGTCAAAAGCACAAATATAAATCTGTTAAACATATTGAGGGACAGAAGCTGTAGAGAAATAGAGGGGAGGTCATTTAGTTTTTTCCTTGGGGATCTATTATGCCAAAGTAACTGCTCCCCCTAGTGCATCTCCATTAACAAGAAAGGGGATTATCTGGAGGCGCGTCCCCTGAAATTACAATTTGTCACGGGTTTTCTCTTAATAACATAGTTAGACCTAGAAGTGACACACACTAATGAAATGCCGATGTCCTAGGACAATAGTACTTGGGGGACTCTATCATATAAACCTGTGTCTGGTCACTGTCATTGAATTTACATGCCAATGCAGGATGGGTAGAGATGGGGATTGAATGGGGGTATTTCTGTGACAGTCCCATACTTATACAATCAACCCATGGATACGAAATCCCAAAGAGTGACAAAAGGATAAGATTTAAACATTTCTTTTAATAAAATTCCTATTTCTTTATGTCTGCTGGTGACAGGAGAAAATCACCCATCTGACTCTGACAACTGACTGATTGTGAAAACTCAATTACAGAGCGTGATTGTTTTCCAATAATGGGCTGTGACAAAAGTGGATCTTAGAGTGGGACCAAGGGTGCATAGATTCCTTTAAATGTTTCTAGGGGGTCCACAGTAAAATGGGAATTATTCTAAATTCACTGTAATTTATTCACCTGTAAATACATAAATTACAGAATGCATAAGAATGAGTATATATTCCTCCCCACTTTTATCTCCCCTCATACAGGCTGTACTGTACAGTTTAATTATTGTAACATAATTTGTAAATCAGCCAGTACAGTATGGTACAGTAGAAAAGGTGTCAGCTTGTGTTCATATCAACCAGATGCAGAAGGGCCATGTTTTGCATCAGTAATCGTGGGTTTGTTTGTCTACCAATAACATAAAGCAGTGACAAAACTCTTATGACCATGATGTATTGTATTTCTCTTCAAAATAAAATTAGCCTATTTAGTATAGATATTCTACCAGACTTTGTCGTATTAAATAATAGCAAGTACAGAAAGTACAGACATGATTCATTTCTCCATAAAATTACATCTACATCTAGTTGTGTCTTTGTTTGCGAAGACAATAATTAATTGGACACATTCTTATAAACAAATGGGTTATAGTGTCACTTCTAAGGTTTCCATATGCTGTACTGATACCAATGATGTTCATCTGAAAGGCTGTGAGAGCTCAGATGAGCTTTGGCTTCTGAGGCAGACAGAGATTATAATATGCAGTTTGATCCCAAAAATCTGGTCCTTTCCAGCCACACCAGCCCTGAGAAAGACAAAATACACACTGGTCAACACTGTTTCTGAAAAGTTTTACTTTACAGCGAGAAATGCTGCCAGTGTGGATACATGCAACAGTCACCTTGTCTGTGATAACCTGTAGGTCCTCTGCTCCTGTGTAATGTGGATCTAGGATGAGATAGCGGATCTGCCCGGTGGTCTCACTCCATGCCACACCCAGAATAGTGTGAGCTAAAACTCCCCCTCCTGCAACATAGGACCATTATTTTTTTTAACAAACCTGTAATTCTAATTGGGAATTAATATTTGCATTTCATTGTTAGTCATAACTAATATGGGCTTTTGTAAATGCTGAACCCCTCTGTCACAATGTCAGCAATAGTTGATTAGACGATTTTTGTCCAGTTAATTACAGTCTATTAAGTATACAGTAATCAAAGAACTGAATTTATAGAATAACATCACTGATGTGCATGTGACTGTATTAGTCTTGTGTTTACAAATACTAATGTAGAAAAAAAAAAAAAAAAAAATTATAGCATCAGACAAAATTAATAACATTGTGACAACTGGGCAAAGCTGATCGAAATGGGTCTTGTGGTGATTAGCCAGATTAAGATGTTGTCTAGTTTCTTTAATAAAAATGAAAAAACTCTGTTTTGAATTTTAAAGAAGGCTTGGCCCTTTAGTCTGCAACTGGATCATAGATTTTTTGTTTAATATCATAGCACCATGTTGCTGTAGACTGTATGCGTGTTTATAGTTTTAAGTAAAAATTCAGTATAATCTTACGAAAGATATATATATATATATACCAGAGTTGTTATTGTTAAATATATGAGTTTTAAAGTTTGTGCAAGTTGATTAAGTTTAATTAAAGCCCAAAATGCTGGAAATAATGGTCTGACATTCAGCTCACCAATCATGATGGGAGTCCCTTCTGTAAGGAAGTGGTTGGCCAGTTCTCTGCCTTTGGATGCCAACTCAGACCCTTGACTGAAAAGCACACAGATGAGCCATCAGATAAATCCAAAACCTTCACATAAATATTACAATATACAAGGTGCTATGGAGGCGTGTAATCAGACCTCACAAACATGATCTTGGAAGTGACTTCAAGCAGCTGGTTCAGAACAGCCTGAACCTCAATGGATCCGATCCACTGGCGTGATCCCACAAAGGATGTCTGCTTGTCTCCAACATCCACTAAAGCCTGGAAAACAGTGACCCAAATAGAGGCAGGCATCTTGGACATTATTGATATGAAATTTCAAAAGAAGAAAAAAAACAAATACAGGCACATCTTTTATTGTATTGTGATCATATTTATAGAAGTATTACCTGTTGGATCTCTTTGTGAGTGGGCACAGACCGCTCTACGTAGCCTTGCTGCTGGAACCAGGAGCAGATGGTCTGCAGGGAACGATAAGCACAGCCCCAGCCATTGTCATCCATACGGTCCTGCATGTAGTGGTGATAGCTGTAGATCCCCTGGACCAAGTACACCTTGAAAAGAAAAACAACATAAGACAGGCAAATCAAGGTTACTATCCCCTGTATATTCCTTGAGTACATCTCAGTATCCATCTTCAAAAAAGGGGACAAAGTGTAACAGACTTTAATATGGTAATTAGCTATACCTTTCCATCATCCAGGGTAGGATGTGTGAGGAGCAGATGAGGGTTTCGGAGATAACCGTCTCTGTAGGGCTCATTGGGAAAGTGGTACGCATTGGCTCTTCTGAAAAAAGGCCTGTCATCTGGTAGCTCAAACTGTTGATGCAATTCCTACAAATAGAGATTTTGTGCAAAATGAATAATGGTGTATTATGTAAATACAAGAAGCTGGATCCACTGCCTGCTGTATGAAGCTATAGGATAAAATGTCAGACTTTCTGAATCTCAGTGTTCCTTTCTATTATGTACGTTGTTTTTGTGATAAAGATGCTACCAAAATTTGATTATAATATCAACAGATTTACATGTTGCTTGCCAGTTTGTTTGAGCTTTTAAAGAAGCTCAGTCTGTGGTTCTTACCTTCCGCTGTGTCTCTAGTTGGCTGTCAGGCACTCCTGCTGGGTAAACCACTGTCACTAGTCCTTTTGGCTCTGGAAGAAGAAAGTGGAGTGGCTCAGGGACCAGCAGTGTCGTCCCTTTTGTGTGTTGCAAAGTCACTTTCTCCATCTCAAACAGCTGATGAGTTAGCGCCTCCACCAGACGCTCACAGGCACTGCAACACCAGAATAAAATTTTTTCACAGTGAGATACAAGCTTTATCAAGGTAGTGAGTCTATCACTATTTTAACATTAATATATTGAGTTTACAGAGTTTGACCTGTAGTTCAGATTCTGATCTTTTATTTTTATTTTAAATAAGACATACTCCTTGATCGTGTCATTGCAGCTGGTGCGGACAACACAGTCCATGGGAAGAGTCGCAGACAGGAAGTGGGAGCTCTGGAGAGTTCTGCTGAGGATGGGAGCTGAGAGAGGGCCTGGCTTTGTCACCTCCATCATCAGGTTAAGGTTTATGACACTCTAAATGACAAGTTTAGTGGCATAAACACACAACATAAAGTTGATAAGTCATTGCTTATAAGTTATACTATCTCAATGTGGAAAACTACTGTAGATAGTGGATACCTTTTTGTACACATGATGAAGAAGAAAAGTATGTTGCACTGTTCCTGCAACATTTCTGACCCCCTACTGAGGACAAACATTACAAAAACTACTATTTCTGTCTTGGCACTCCCACATCCATTTCCATATTAGAAACTTACCACTGCTGAACTTTTCTTGTTTTTCTTTTTTCCAGATTTCTTGCCAAAGCTCTCCTGTTCATCCGTCCTGAAATCAATAAAAATATTAATTATTCAGCTAACCAAAAAAAAACAACACAGGCTAGTCACATGATCAACAAAACATGACTCACTGTATCCACAGATGTATATCTTCACACAGTGCGTTTGGTGTTATTTCTTCTGGTGTTGCATTAACACCTTTGTTTGGCCATATAATAACAGGACTGTCACAGACTGTGAGAACACAGGATTCAGATTTCACCTGGGAGCGGAGGGTCACAAATGTTCCTGAGATCGCCTTGTGCATCAGCGACACTGACAGGGGACAGAGACATAGACAATATTAGTCATTACTGTCTACATACTTCTCTGCACTTTTGGTTTGAGGCTGTTGGTTTGGGCTAGGCTCCTCAGGTCATTTAAGGGAAATCTCAATACTACAGCAAACAATTATCTTTAGATAACGGTATGTGCTTCTAACTTTGAGGCAACAGTTTTAATGAAGGCATTTCTTATTTCAATGTAACAGTTCCGTTGTGCATAAAACCAGGCCAATGATGAAATGGTTTATTGACTGCAGTGTGGAAGACCTTGAGTGACCTGCACAGACCCTCAACCTCAACTTCATTCAACAATGAAATGTAACAAAATTTCTCATTTCTCTCTATTTCACAAAAAAAAGATGATTAGAGTAAAGTCTAAAAGATAAATCCTTGTTTGTGCAGTGGAACTTTTTGTTCTTCCCTCAACCATTAGTCATCTCATGATCTCTCAGATTTATTGATCCCTGAATCACTGGACTAAACAACCTAACTGTATACAGTATTTAGTAGTTAGTAAAATTTGCTTTAACAGTGACATGCTGCTTAAGGATTGATAATTAATGATCTGGATTAACTATGAAATCATGTCCTGTGTGTCATGTACTTATACTCAAGAAGACTTATTCATGCAGGACTTCTACTTGTAATGGAGCATGTTTAGATTGTTGTATTGGCACCTCTACTTTAGTTAAGGATTTGAATACTCCTCCCACCACTGGTAATGTTCCTCCCATGCAGTAACTGATTTGTTACAGCATCCCACAAGAGGGAAGCAGCCAGGAAGTGAAACCCAACATAAAAACACGAGAAACCCACGTTTAAATAAATAATATTGTGGTTAAGAGTCCATAAACATGCAGTACCGTCTGTGCTGTCCAGCTGACATTTGAGCTCCAGCCGCCCTCTCACACGAAGGATGGTCCCAGTGTAGGGGGGATGTGAGTCAACAAACACCTGAGGTAACACAGGACACGTTAGTCGCCTGAGAGATAACCAGCTGACAGAGTTGATAACACACATCTACATTATTTTGTGCTTTTATTTACTACTGAAGAAGAGTTGAGGAGCCGCTGTCAGCTGCTAGTTATCTACTAGCAACAACTAACAGCAAGCTGAGGGAAACATTAAGCTATACTACATTAAACTAGCTAATTTCTCAGTAAACTTACCATGGTGGAGTTGAGTCAAGCAATGTACAACTACTCTCTACGCACACAGGACGCTGACATGTTTGTTGTACGTGTCTCTGGCTGCTGCATCCTATTGGACCACACTGACCCCACCCGCTGATGTTGCATTCAGGGTAACTCGTAATTTTTGGAAAATTTTCCCGGATAACAGAGATGATTACAGCTGTGGCTCGTAACCTTTTTAGGGGGCATCTCCATGTAGGGAGCCTGGATACTTAGTTCCACTTTTTTTCCTCCTCAGATTCTTTTAGTAAAATAAGTTTTAAGATGCCTGAGGAGGTACATGATATTTTACAAGACAAGAAAAAATGACAGTGTAGTCTGAAAAAATAGACACAATTTTGTGTAGCAGATTTTTTTTTCTTTCTCTCTGGGCTGCACTACAGTTGACCAAGAGATGCATTGGTTTTCCATCTCCTGTGCAAAAGCAACTAAAATGCGACCCATTCAGCTTAACTGGACATCCATCTTTGCTCTTCTGTTGTGATAATTACTACCATAATTTGATTTTTAAGAGACTCAAGAAATACAAAATGCCAGTGAGAGAGTAAAAATTTCTCCAGTCATACTGTAAATGAGTGTCATGTAAAATCTCCTGTCGTGGTGCTGTTAGTACAGTATTAAGTGTGTTCAGCCTTAGTGATGCATACTATATCTAATTATTCCAGCATCCGTGCCCATGTCACCCGTCTTATGCAACACTTGAAAACATGCATCAACATTCTTGCATTTTAAATTTTTTGTTCAGCTATTTATTTTGATTTTTTTTTAATTATCTTTTTAAAAGGATAAATAATTCAAGGGAAGTTTGAATAATCACAATGAATACATAGCTAAACAGTAAAACCTGTTTCTTGTGTGTTGCCTGTTTGCTGCAGGCTATTACATGGTAGCCATGCATGCAAGGCCAGGCAGGATGAGTGGACACAGGGTTAGAGATACTGTACTGTATGTCATTATTCTGTATGTAGAAGAGGATGTTTTCTATCTATCTGAAAAAAACTCTACCAAAAACTATCTATCCAAAACTCTTTGAACTCAGTAAGCTTTGAAAAATCAAATGATCATCAAAGGCTGCACTAATGGTAAGAAGACAAATCAGATAGCAGTACGTATTTACCTGTAAATGAAAGGACTTACATTACAGGCCTTTTACAACTACTACTACGTATTATGGCAAAGTCAAATAAAGCAAATCTGAAAGTCAGGAAGCAAAGTTGAAAATGAGGCTAATTTTAGGTCAGTGATGTTTTGTTCTAACATTGCTTCTGGAAAAAGATCATCAAGGGTTTGTTAGGATTAGTGGGAAAAGGAGCTGACATGGCCTTTTTCCTATCCCAAGCATTCAAAATCAGTCATCTGTAGAAGATTGTTAGAAAAAAAAAAAACCTAAACACACTCAATAGGTCTAATGTACATTAGTAGACTGTAGTGTTAGGAATTATGAACATTTGGATGAAATCGCTTCATCATATTGTACCTTCATTAGAAAAACATTTATGGAAATCACATTAATTTTGAGAAACAGTTTTGTCTGATGTGTCAATTAGTTTTGAGGAGCAATTTTGTTATTTACAAGAGTGCATAAATGCAACATTACCAAAGAAGATTTAATGTAAGTATCTATTGGAAGGCTTTATGTGCCTGAATGTTACAATCTGCCTAAAAAAAACTTTCTTCTTGTGAAACTGAGTGTATATACATTGTAAGTGTCTGAGGTCATGGCTGTTAAGTTCCTGTGGACTTAGTGTTCTGGGCTTGATTTGTGATGAGATTAGCTATCTCTCTGGGTATCATAAACACAGAGTTGGGATCTTTGGAAGAGAGTGTGCGAGGACTGATTAAATGGCAGGGACTGAAACTCACATTAGAAATGTACATTCATCATATGGATATAGGCAAAGTTTATCTTTGGATTCATTTGTTTGTGTAATATTTATTCAAAATGATTGATGGCAGGATGTAGCAAAGCAAATAAGAGTGTTTGGATCACAAATAATATTTGAGCAAGTGTGATGGCAAAGTTGAAGTGGACTATTATTAGGGACAACTCACTTTAGCTTTTACAACAAATTTAATGTATATTATTGTGGTCTTTTGTGGCAATGTTCACATATTTGGTTTTACAATTTGATCAATTCCGGCAGTCAGTGAAAGGTAATGCTTTTTTGTTTGTTTTTGCCAAAAATGTTACAGAATCATTTATGACTGATACATCCTTCATGTTTTAAGGGTGGCATATACCTGGCGGTGAGGCTGGGGATTATAGAAGCTGTGTAGAGGTTTAATATCACTTAAGATCTCATTAAAATAAGGTCTTTTTTAAGGATGGGTTTATAATTTTTCATGCTTGTAATCGGGTGCTCCTATATGGACACTAAAAGAGGTTTTTCTTGCTGTAATCATTCCTCTTGTTCAAACGGGCCATTAAAAGATTCCTTCTTAATGCACTTTGAATGTAAGTGATGGGAGAGTCCTCCTGGGGAATTTTTATTCTAAAAGATGTCATCTGAAGATGACATGAGATTTCAGTGATACAAAAACACATCTTGTTTGTTTTTATTATTATTCCTTCACTGCTACAGAAAAGGGACACAAGGGAACACAAAGAGGGAATTTTATACAGTTACTAACAGTTACTGTTAGTTTGTAAGATATTGACTTGATTAGTTTTTTAACCCAGACTGCTGAGACCTCGTATTTGCTCCAGATAAGATAGATAGATAGATAGATAGATAGATAGATAGATAGATAGATAGATAGATAGATAGATAGATAGATAGATAGATAGATGCATGAGTACAAAAGTGTGTGTGTGTGTGTGTGTGTGTGTGTGTGTGTGTGTGCATTGTTTGTGTTGTGTGAGGACATAGGGGAAAGAAAGACAGAAAATAGAACTGAAATTGGACATTAATAATAATCAAAGTGCTACACGTATACAGCATGCCTACTCTTGATGTTTAAATTTGTAATTTTTTCTCTTTTCATTAAAAAAATGTCTTCTTCACGAACAGCAGGGAACTTGGGGGTAATTAACTGTAAAAACTGGAACAGTGTGGCCCATTGAAATATCTTGATTTAACATCCACATCTTTTGCCTCTGGATATCAAATGACCTTAGCTTCACATCATTGGTCTCCTACTGAGGCATGAGCTCTGGATCCTGGCCCTCAGTCATTCACCATTGCTAATGGGTTCACCCTGGGACAACCTCTGAGAGACAAATAGATGAAGGAAACAAGAAGAGAGTCCAACATTTTGCCTGATTCAACCATTGGAATGAAGATAAGTAGCTATATTCACTGGAGTACCGTAGTTAATCACGATTGCGAGGTACTTGTCTTTTACTTTATGCTTCTACTCTGCTACATTGCAGATGTACTAGGACATACGTACTATATGATCAGCTCATACAATATAATGCACTTTTACAGATTAACCTTCCCAACAACAAAATGCTGCTTACACACTAATACATCAATAATACGAATCCAGTAATACAATATACAATAACACTGAAAGGTGCAATTCTTCTGCATAATGAGTGCTTTTACTTTTATATTTTCCTTATAATAGTTGTGTGCTTTTGCTTAACTTATTTTGAATGCATGACTTTTAGATGTAACAGGGTATTTTTAAATTGTAGCACACAAAGAAACACAAAATGACAACAAAGATACACAAAACAACTACAAGAACACACAAAATGATGAAAACATATACTCAAAATGACTACAAAGAGACAAACTGATCACCTTTAACATGACCACAAAAGACAAAAATGACAATAAAGAGATGAAAAATGACGAAATGTGATTTGTAGTCATTTGATGTCTCCCTCAGTCTGGGGGGCTTGTAATAGAGGAGTGCGGGGTCTTTCACCTGTCTGCGCAGGGGCCCATTTTCTCCTAATCTGTCCATCAGTCATATTTACTGCCTTCTCTGCTTCCCTAAACTGAAATGTTCTTTGAGGACCAAGAAAGAGAGAAATGGTTCAAGAGAAGTGGCCTGTGCCCATTCCTGTGGGTCAGTGCTCCTCATTTTGAACGGCAGATGCTTCAGAGCTCATCATCTTCTCCTTCAACTCCAGTTGCACTGTAGTCTTCAGCTCTGAAAGAGTACAACAATAAGACTCAAAGCAACGCAGAGTCAGGACTACAACTGCAAGACTTTTCGGTCCTGAATCTTAATTCACTGTCTCACCTTGGCACAGATCATAAGGTCCATGTTGTAGATAATCATGACAAAGAGGTTTGTTCATGCCAGTGCAGCTGGTGCTATCTCCTCTGGGTCCTGGTGAGAGGCGGCAGCAACAGCTGTCACCTCTGTGGTGGCAGATGGGTCACTGAGACCTGAGGATGGCCTGTAGAATCTGTGCAGTTCATTTGCATTTGCTTCTTGTCAAATTTAAAAACACGTGTGATTTAGAATCTATTTATTTTTTTCATTAATTTCCAAAATAATTCAACTTGTCATTGATCTTGGTATAGGTGGAATTCTCAGAAAAGCAAAGACGATATCAGAAGTCATGTGGTTCAGGCCCTATTTGTTTGGTGGCACACAGGTGTTGTTAATTTTTTTATGTTGTAATTTGATTATTTTGATCTCATCTGTCTGTAGTTCTTCCTGAGGTTTCTCTCATTCTTCCTCCCATTACATATTTTTGATTAGTTTTATTGTTATTTTTATGTGTTATTGGGCTATATAAATAAAATTGTCAGCCTAATTCATCTTATTTATTTGGTTTACATCAGTGTGTGCTTTTAAGTAAATGTGCTTGTAAAAGGTCCCCTTAAACTTGCCCTCGAAAATATGTGATGAATAAATCCAACAAGTTAGACCTTTCTAATTCAGTCTTTGGAGAAAAGATTGAACATAACACAACATAAAAGGTAAAATAACATACACACATGCATTAAAAAGAGGAATTTTTAAATTGCAGTTTAATGAATAACATGGTCCTGTCCACACCTGGTGCCAAATGAAAGGGTTCTTCCTTAAGTATCTAACCTATGGACTTTATGTTTTTATGTAGTAGCAGCATCCTCGGCCTTGTTGTTGAA